ACACACACACACACACACACACACACACGTTGTGTTTCCATGTTTTATGGGGACATTCCATAGGCGTAATGGTTTTTATACTGTATAAACTGTATGTGCTACTGCCCTACACCAACCCTACTCCTAAACCTACTCCTTACAGGAAACTTTGTGCATTTAATAAATCTGTATGATTTATAAGCTTGTTTCCTCATGGGGACCTCAAAAATGTCCCCACAAGGTCAAAATTTACTAGTATTACTATCCTTGTGGGGACATTTGGTCCCCATAACGTGATAAATACCAGGTACACACATACACACACACACACACAGACTCTCTGCAGCAGGCGGACTGTCTGGAAGTTTTCCAAATGGGAATCATCCTTTGAGACGCTGGCCTTTGCTTACTAGTGATAGAGCAGCAGGAGATAAGAGGAAGGCCGAACAGGAAGAAAGAGTGGAAGAAAAAAATGAGGAGGAGGAAGAGGAGGAGGCCTTTGAAAACCTGCCACAGCAGAGTGCCACATACAGCCTGTGTTGTTGTTCCAGCTGTACTTTTTCGCGATGGCGCCGACGCCGATGGCTGCCTCCGTGGCATGCTCCGCAGTTGTTTTTATGTTTTTGTTAGTTTGTCCTGTCTTTAGTTATATCCCTGCAATCAGTTTCACCAGAGACGAATTGCTGGACATTCGGAAGTACACACCACCCGATATTTCACTGGTTTTCGATTATTCTGATGTTTTGCTGGACATTGTAGTTGGGGGAGCTGCGGCGCTGATCAAACGCTTCAGGACGCGCAGACGGGGGAAGCGAGCCGGCACGCTCGTGAAGCTCAGACAGCGCGGATTCAGGACGCCGTTGCCTAGCATCCATCTGGCGAACCGCCGCTCTCTACCCGACAAAACGGACGAGCTCCTTCTGCTCTCCCAGACAAATAAGGATTTTTCAAACTCTGCTGCTCTGTGTTTCACGGAAACCTGGCTGAAAGACGCCATTCCGGACAGCGCGTTGAGTCTCCCGGGCTTTCAGCTGTTTAGAACAGATCACGACGCAGAATCAACGGGGAAAATCACGCGGCGGCGGGACATGCTTTTACATCAATGAGAGGTGGTGTACAGATGTAACTGTGTTAAAGAAGATGTGCTGTTCAGATCTAGAAGTGCTCTTCATTAATTGCAAGCCGTTCTATTCGCCGCGGGAGTTTTGCTCGTTCATTCTCGTAAGTGTGTATTCTTGGGGACTTTAATAAAGCAAATCTCTCCCGTGAACTGCCAAAATACAGACAGCACATCACATGTCCCACAGAGACAGTAATATATTGGATCACTGTTACACCACAATAAAGAAAGCATATCACTTTGTTCCACAAGCAGCTTTGTGGCTCTCTGATCACTGTTTAGTTCATCTTATACCGACCTACAGGCAGAAACTGAAATCAGCTAAACCTGTATTAAGGACTGTAAAAAGATGGACTGATGAAGCAGAGCAGGATTTAAAAGCTTGTTTTGACCTCACTGATTGGAGTGTTTTTGAAGCTGCTGCCACCGATCTGGACGAGCTCACAGAGACTGTAACATCTTATATCAGTTTCTGTGAAGACATGTGCATTCCTACCAGGACTCATTTAACCTACAACAATGACAAACCATGGTTCACTGCAAAACTCAGACAACTCCGTCAGGCCAAAGAAGATGCTCACAGGAATGGGGACAATGTCTTGTATAAACAGGCTAAATACACTGGAAAAGTGTCATTCTGTTACACTGTGGAAGCTTCTGTCACGAAAACAAATTCCTCGTATGTGTAAACATACCTGGCAATAAAGCTCATTCTGATTCTGATTCTGAGCTGAAGTGAGAGAGAGAGGCTTTGACTCATCATGGATAACTGACCATTAGTGGTGGATTCACATCTTTGGAATGAGACACTTCTGCTTGCACACACACACACTGACTCACACTCATTCAAGAATTTCTTAAACTAAAATGGCAGTTCTTTCCGTCCATAGCATTCCTTCTGCCTCTGCAGCAGCCTCACACACACACACACACATACACACACACACACGCACACACACACACACACATACATACCGTTCGTCACAGGGAGAATGTTAAACACTCTGTAAAGCATTCAGTGCTGTTTGCTTGGGCAAGCATCACTATTATTGTTGCTCATATTTATGGTCAGGGGTTTGATTTAAAAAAAAAATAAAAAATTTTACTTTTTACTTTTTTTGTTTGTTTACTTTTTCCAGATACAAAAGCAAAAAACACAAATCACCGTAATGATCATAGCAAACACCCACAATACATCATGGGCACAACCTTTGCACAGGCACACTAGTAATATTATTTGGGAAAGTGTATCACGCTGTGAGGTTCTTTCAGTGTTGTATTATATGGCAAAAGTACGCTTAGTTGAGCAATGAATGGATTTACACTCTTAAAAGAATGCATGTTTGCTTTGAATCTATACTGATGAAGACAGATTGTCTTTTTAGGGAAGGAAATAGAATGAGATGAAACTAAATGTGGCTTGTGTTGAACTCTCTCTCACACACA